CACACACGCACACACACACACCCACCCACACACACACACGCACGCACGCACGCACACACACCCACACACTCACACACACGCACACGCACACGCACACGCACACGCACACGCACACGCACACGCACACGCACACGCACACGCACACGCACACGCACCCGCACACGCACACGCACACGCACACGCACACGCACACGCACACGCACACGCACACGCACACGCACACGCACACGCACACGCACGCGCACACGCACACGCACACGCACACGCACACGCACACGCACACGCACACGCACACGCACACGCACACGCACACGCACACGCACACGCACACGCACACGCACACGCACACGCACACGCACACGCACACGCACACGCACACGAACACGCACACGCACACGAACACGCACACGCACACGCACACGCACACGCACACGCACACGCACACGCACACGCACACGCACACGCACACGCACACGCACACGCACACGCACAAGCACACGCACACGCACACGCACACGCACACGCACACGCACACGCACACGCACACGCACACGCACACGCACGCGCACACGCACACGCACACGCACACACGCACATCAATCACGCACAAGCACACACCACTGCACCCACGCACGCGCACACACGCCCCACGCACACAGGAGCGCACTCACGCACCCAAGCACGCACGCACACACGCACACGCGCACACACCCATACACGAACACACGCACACACGCACCCACGCACCCACGCACCCGCGCACCCGCACACGCGCACCCGATCACCCGCGCACCCGCGCACCCGCGCACCCACACACCCGCGCACCCGCGCACCCGGGCACCCGCGCACACGCGCACACGCGCACCCGCGCACCTGCGCACCCGCGCACCCGCGCACCCGCGCACGCGCGCACGCGCGCAAACACGCACACACGCACACACGCACACGCGCACACGCGCACACGCGCACACGCGCACACGCGCACACGCGCACACGCGCACACGCGCACACGCGCACACGCGCACGCGCGCACACGCGCACACGCGCACACGCGCACACGCGCACACGCGCACACGCGCACACGCGCACGCGCACTCGCGCACACGCGCACACGCGCACACGCGCACACGCGCACACGCGCACACGCGCACACGCGCACACGCACACACGCGCACACGCGCACGCGCGCACGCGCGCACACGCGCACACGCGCACACGCGCACACGCGCACACGCGCACACGCGCACACGCGCACACGCGCACACGCGCACACGCGCACACGCGCACACACACGCGCACACGCGCACACGCGCACACGCGCACACGCGCACACGCGCACACACGCGCACTCGCGCACTCGCGCACTCGCGCACACGCGCACACGCGCACACGCGCACACGCGCACACGCGCACTCGCGCACTCGCGCACTCGCGCACACGCGCACACGCGCACACGCGCACACGCGCACACGCGCACACGCGCACACGCGCACTCACGCACACGCGCACACGCGCACACGCGCACAAAAGTGGCACAGGGATGGAAGCCGACAAAAATGTTTAATCAGCCCAGGCGGGGCCCGTCGTATCAGGAGACACCCGCCGGTTAATGTTACGGAAAAACGTGTCGTCTGCTTTGCGCGTTGCATTTTAACCATCCGACTGGTGGGAACGAAACCGCAAGGCAGAACGTGGAACCGCCCATGCCAGCGGCCTTGTGAAGGAGCAGCTTGGAAGAGCACCCGGGCATTAAGTGGCGTCCGCCTCCCAATGTTGCCACTGGGCGCGCAAGCCACAGTGTGGCATATCAATGACCTGGCCCATGGTACACGCCTGCGCACGCTGCCAACATTGAAAGGCGAATATAACTTAGTGATCCTCTTTGGGCGTGGCCGTCTGCAGATCATTCACGATGATCGTTTTGTGCATTGTGTTATAACTTTTCCCGTCGTTTTTGTTGTTTTTTGATTGTTTTTTGATTTTCTGATTCTTTGTTATTATGTTTCTTCGACCATCTGTCTGTAGCAGAACATGCCCCACCCAAATCCACGGAATGCATGTGCACGATGCCGGGCCACAGATGGTGTCCAAACTCAAGCAGCGGTTGCGGGCAAGATGATCATCCATGCCCGCTGCGTCTCGGTCAGATTTTTATCCATATTCACTGCGCCGTGGCCTGCTGTCGCCCCTTCCCAGAAAGTCCAAAACGCAGTGGATATGGATATGAATCGTGCCCGCAGCGTCTGTTTCTGGGTAGTCGATCTGTTGTGTCAAATGGGGAAAGTCCGCGGCGACGCCGACAGCGACTCCTGTGCAAACTGAGCCCGGATTCGGCGGCGAGCCCGGGGGGGAAGTGAGCAGCGGTGGGCTTTCGCAGAAGAGCTCGGTGGTCCCTTGGCCTGCTGAGAAGTGTTCAGAGCCTGCCCCGACGACAGCAAAACCCCCCAGAGGGGGCCAGGGCTTCTGGGAAGTCCCGCCGCCTTCTAAGAAGGCTTTCCCTTTCTCACTTCCACCCCCCGCTCGCCGCCGAGGAACCGCTGCTGGTCTTCGCGCGCATTCTCTTCGTACCCGCTTTCCCCGTGCCCCAGGCGGGCCCCCGACGGGCGTGTGGGCGGACCCCGGGGGAGGACGCGGAGACACAAGGCCTCCCCGTCCTCCTCCCCGTCCTCCTCCCCGTCCTCCTCCTCCTCCTCCTCCTCCTCCTCCTCCTCCCCCTCCTCCTCCTCCTCCTCCTCCTCCCCCTCCTCCTCCTCCTCCTCCTCCTCCTCCTCGCGCAGGCCTGCGTGACCTTCCCCCTGACGGTCTTCGGGGGCATAGTGGGCCGCCACGGCGCCATCAGGGCGGCGGAGAAGGACCGCCCGGAGCTGCCAGGCGGCCCGGTCACACCGCGCGCGAAGGCGCCATCTCCGGTGCCCGGGGCAGGAGGAGGAGGAGGAGGAGGAGGAGGAGGAGGAGGAGGAGGAGGAGGAGGAGGAGGAGGAGGAGGAGGAAGAGGAGGAGGAAGAGGAGGAGAAGGATGAGGAGGAGGAGGAGGAGGAGGAGCAGGATTAGGGGTCCCATATCGCAGGCGATTTCTCGCCCCCCATTAAGGTGAAACTCGGGGATACACCCCCAGGGGGGTGCTCGGACGCACCCCTATCCAGGATGGACGCCCCCAATCGAAAATCGTTGAGTTTGCAATGTTGGGGTCTGGTCACAAGTCTTACAATGTCGGGGATGGGGGTCGCCATTCCCCCCGTTACTATACCTAGACCTCCAAATTCCGCAGCCGTTTTTGGCTGAAGCCGATCTGGCCCAAGGGTGTCGAAAAGCAGCCCTGGTGAGCGCCAGCTTCTGTCCCCGCTCGGCCTGTGTTCTCGCAGGACGATGGCGCCCAGCAGGGTCCCCATGGCTGGCGCGGACTTGGATGCTATTCTCAAGCTGCTCCCTACCGTCGAAGAGATCCCCAGCGATGACCGCGCCATGTTCGTGGCGGGCCTGCCCCACGCGCTGGCGCAGAGCCCCGAGTCCCGGCACGACTTCCAGGCCCAGTTCGCGGGCGTCGCGCGCGAGGCCCTCGCGGGCGCGGTGGCCGTGGCCGAGGCGCGCGTGCTGCGCTGCGGCGCGGACGTCGAGGCCGCCCGCGCCGCCCAGGACGCTGGCGACGCGCTCTGCCGGGAGGCCGCCGCGGCGTCGGAGGCCGCTGGGAAGGTCGTGGAGGACAAGAGCGCCACGCGCGAGGCGCACCACGCTCTGGTGGCCAGGCTCGAGCAGGAGCACGCCGAGGCGCAGGCGAGGGAGGCGGTCGTGGTGGAGGCCCGGGACAAGCTGCGCGCGGAGCAGGCCGAGCTCGCCGCCGTCCTGGAGGACTTCCGCTGCCTGAGCGCCGGCTCCTGCCAGGGTGACGGCAGGGACACGGCGGCCGAGGCCGTGCAGGCGTACGCCAAGGCCCACGGCGTCGAGCCGGCCCTGGTGGCTGCCCTGCCCGCAGCGCTGAAGGCGCCGCCGGAGGCGCGCGGCGCGTTCGAGGCGCTGGCGCTGGATTCCTACGCCGGCATCCTGTCCTCGGCGAAGGCCCAGCAGGACTCGAGGCTCGCCGCCGGGATGGAGGAGGAGGCCGACGCCGTGGCGGAGGCGCTGGGCCTGTGGGCCCTCCACGACGAGGAGCGGCAGGCGGAGCTCGAAGCGAGGGTCGCGGTGGGCGAGGCGAAGGTGGCCCTCGAGGCTGCGGCTGCAGCAGAGAAGCAGGCGGCCGCCGCCGAGCGCGAGGGGGGGGCAGAGATGACCAGGCGCCTGGTGGAGCAGACGCTCGCCGACGAGCAGTGCAGCCAGCTGAAGCGCGCCCTGGAGGCACTGGATCGTTCGGATGCAAATCCTGGGAGGTCAAATTCTGACTTTGCCCTGGTCTGAAATCCGGCCTGATCCGGCTCAGGCTTAATCCCATTCAATCCGGCTTCATCCCGATTTGACCCAGCCTGATCCTGCCTAATCCGAGGCTCAATCCGGCGTAGCAGCCCCCCAATTGAGGCTGAATTCTCCCTGATCCTTCCGACGACGATCTCCCAGTAGTTTTGCGTCGGGCCTGTCCCTCTATAGGGGGAATATTCAAAAATAGTAAAAACATACTATGGGGACTTTTTTGTTTTTGTATGAATATTTTTTGGTATTTTTTATCATTCGTCGAAAATCCCCCTGTAGGGTGACACGCCCGACTTAACAGTGGTTGCCTCCTGACTGGAGGCGCTGGATCGGCTGATCTACGGCGCGTGCGCGGAGCCGGAGCCCGAGGCGGCCGTGGGGGCAAAGGCCGCGGAGCACGCGCGGGCCACGGCGAACCCCTTCGGGGTGCCCACGCCGATGGTGTGACGGGGTGAGCGGCCGACGGCGCGGGGGCAGCCGCTGTCCGAAGGTCTGCGGTCGTTTGTGGCCAGGCCGCGCGGCCACTCTGAGGTCGAGTCGGGTCCGTGCCCCCCCCCACGGGAGGGATAATTATTCAAGGACGGTTAGGACATGGTCTGGGCACGGCCTTCCTGCTAGGTTCTGGGCTATCTCGGGGCTCTTCCTCTGGCTGCGTTGTAGTTTTCGTTCAGAAGCCGTCTGTAGGAGGACACGCGCGACCTATAGGCCTTGGCCTGCGGTCGTTCGGCCGGGCCGCGCGGCCACTCCGAGGCCGGAGCGGGCCCCTGCGGGAGCCACACCGCCCGGGGGGAGAGGCGGTGCGGCTCCGCAGCGCACCGCGCACGGGCGGGGGGGGCCCCAGCAGGAGCGCGTCGCCCGCGCTCTCGTCTTCTCTTCGCGTCGCCCGCGCTCTCGTCTTCTCCTGCCTCTCTCGGGCCGGACGAACAGGGGGGGATTGGGAAAGGGGGGGTTACGACATTTGCTGCATGCAGCTGGTTTCGGCCTCACCGAAGGGGCCCCTTCCTCGATGCATAGCCGCCTCCGGCGCTGGGAGGCGCCGGGAAACTCAGCAGCGTGAGCTGATGCTCGAACCCCCCTTCCCCCCGACCCGACCCTTTCGCCCGACCCGACCCGACCCTCCACCTTTCACCCGACCCGACGTGCTATCCCCCCCTTTCACCCGACCCTTTCGCCAGACCCGACGTGCTATCCCCCCCTTCGCCCGACCCACCCGACTCTCCAGCTTCCCCATCTGTGCGACGCCCAAAAGCGGGCTCGTCGGCGCCGACCGTGGCGCGTGAGCTGCGCGCGCGTCAGGTCGCGCGCGGGCGCCTTTCGTCTCCACCGTGAAGGTGCCGCGCCGTCGGCCCGCGTGTAGGCCACCGCGTAGGGCCGCTACATGTCGGGGGTGGACAGAACCCACAACAGTGACACGTTGATTAGTGAATTGTCCGTTTTCGGTTCTCGAGAGGGCGCCGTGGCCGTTATTTTCCAGGCTTGCGCCCGCCAGGCTTGGGCCTCAGGTCGTTTTCGCTACACCGCGTTTTACGAAAGGGGGGTCTGTCCATCCCCGAATCTGACATCTCGCGCCAGAGCCCTTTTTGGATCGTCGCTCCTCCGGGGGTTTTGCCTCTTCTCAAGAGGGCGCCCTCGGTCTCCACCTGCGGCGGTGCCGCGCCGTCGGCCCGCGTGGAGGCCACCGCGCAGGGTCGCGATATGGCATCTCGCGTATAAGGCCCGTTTTTGGCTCGTCGCTCCTCCGCGGGTTTTGCCTCTTCTCCGAAGGGCGCGCGCCGTCGGCCCGCGTGTCGGCCACCGCGCAGGGTCGCGATGTGGCATCTCGCGTCGGGCCCTTTTTTGATCGTCGCTCCTCCGGGGGTTTTGCCTTCGCCGTCGGCCCGCGTGTCGGCCACCGCGTAGGGTCGCTGTGGCATCTCGCGTCGGGCCCTTTTTGGATCGTCGCTCCTCCGGGGGTTTTGCCCGACGAAGGCATCGATACACCACAACCGTGCCAGGCCAGGGCCATCCTGGGCCCCAGGCTGGTGTATATAGACCCTCCTGGCCTCGGCCAGGAGGGCGTATACACCATCCTGGGGCCCAGAGTGGCCCTGCCTTGGCACGGTGGTGGTGTATCGATGCCTTCTGCGATTTCTGCCTCTTCTCAGAAGGGCGCGGGGGATGTGCGTCTCTCCGCCGGCGCTCTGGCGCGGCCCGCCGCGAGCGGCACGAATTCGACGCGCCGTCGCGCTGCGCGGGAGCAGGGACTCCAAGGGGTGGTCAGGGCTTGAGGGGGGGGGCGAAGGGAGATGGTGTCCTATTCACAGCGCTCGCCGCGCGAGCTGGCCAGTCGCCCCCGTGTGCAACACACGGGCGCTTGCGTCTCCTCATCCTCATCTTCCTCCACTTGCCTGCAGCCAGCGGCCTCCGCAAGCATGCCCCGCGTATGAATCCAGCCGTACGTCTCCCACCTTCCAGGTAGTTCGCCAGCGCATGGCTGTACATCATGCCAGGGGCCACTCCTGTACGCACCCATCGGCCCAGCCCTGCTCCCTACCCCAGTGGACAGGCTTGCCATGCACCCCAGGTCACCCCGCAGGGCTCGGAAGACGGCCGCGCTTCGCACCTCCTCGACTGGGCTGTTTCCCCGGTTGCCTCCATGTGCCGCGAGGGTAGCGAAGGTCTCGCGGCTCGCACTCTGCGGGGTGCGAAGCCCGAACTGCGTATTCTGTGGGCACTCTCTGTCTGTACGCGTCCAGGCGCTTCACGGAATTGTCATCGCGCATCCCGGAGCAGTGCCCAGGGCCCTTCCGACTCCACACATGACGTCACGGTGAGTTCGTGGCATTGCCATTCCAGCTCTGCACGTTGTCGAATATGTCGTGTGCTCTTCACGACTGCATCCTGCCTGCCATTCGTTGCGGGCTGGGCTTTCGTCGCGAGGGGTAGTTAATACAACTTGTCTATTAGCTTCGCCGTGGGCTTGGCGACTGCTATGCTGTGGGGCATGTGGTAGGAAAAAGGTCCACCCCTCCAGCTCACTTGGAAACAGTCAAGAGGGGCGTTTTCCAATGACTTGGCCCTCTTAGGTGCGTTTGGGGCCTCGGGGCCTCAGAGCAATAGGCTCAGGGCCACAGGGGGCAATTCGGGGGCCCACGTTGCGAGAAGTCACGACGTCGGGGGATCTGGCATCAGTGGTCCCAAGACCGTTCCGTTACAGACGGGCCAGCGGCATGCGGATCCTGAAGACCTCATTGGACGGTCTGTGTATTAGATGCCAGCGCGGTAGGCGCACTTCGTCAGAAGAGCAACACGTCATGATGATGACGATTATGATGCTGATGATGCTAATGCTGCTGATGATGATGATGATGATGATGATGATGATGATGATGATAATGATGATGATGATGATGATGATGATGATGATGATGATGATGATGAGTAGGAGGATGAGGATGAGGATGAGGATCAGGATGATGATGATGCTGATGCTGCTGATGCTGATGATGATCATGGTGCTGATGATGATGCTGATGATGAGTATGCTGCTCATGATGATGCTGATGATGGTGATGATGATGAGTATGATTATGATGCCGATAATGATGATGCTGGTGATGATGATGATGGCGACGATGACGATGACGATGACGATTATGATGATGGCGATGATGATGATGATGATGATGATGATGATTCTGATGATGATGATGATGATGATGATGATGATGATGATGATGATGATTATGATGATTACGATGGTGATGATGATGGTGGTGATGATGATGATGATGATGATGATGATGATGATGATGATGATGATGATGATGATGATGATGATGGAAAGAGCGTGTTCTACCGCTGCTGGCGGAAAACAGGGGGGGGGCACTACCGGTTCGAACCCCCCCCCCCCCCCCCCGGAAAACCGGGGGGGGTCACTACGGTTCGAACCCCTCCCCCCCCCCCAGTTCATCATGAAAAGGGGGGGGGGTCACTACTGGTTCGAACCCCCCCCCCCTCGAAAACCGAGTGGGGGTGCGGACAGTGGTGGGGACGGTGTTGGTGGGGACAGTGGTGAGGGGACAGCGGGACAGTGGTGGGGACAGTGGGACAGTGGGACAGTGGTGGGGACGGTAGTGGTGGGGACAGTGGTGGGGACAATGGTGGGAACGGGGGGGACAGTGGACAGTGGTGGGGACGGTGGTGGTGGGGACAGTGGTGTGGGGACAGTGGGAATGAGGTGGAAACAGTGGGACAGTGGAGGGTACAATGGTGGTGGGGACAGTGGTGAAGGCGGTGGCGAGGACGGCGGTGGGACAATGGGACAGAGGTACAGTGGGGACAGTGGTGGGGACAGTGGGGACAGCGGTGGGAACAGTGGGACAGCTCAGTGGGACAGCGGAGGAGTCAGTGGGACAGTGGGGACAGTGGGGATAGTCGGGCAGTGGTTGGGTCCGTGGAGACAGTGGGGAGAGTGGAACCGTGGTGGGAACAGTGGTGGGAACAGTGGGGACAGTGCGACAGTGGTGGGGGCACTGGTGGGGACAGTAGGGACGGTGGTGGAACCAGTGGGGACAGTGGTGGTGAGGACAGTGGTGCTGGGAACAACAGTGGGGGATGTGATGCGGACGGTGGTAGGGACCGGGAGTCGTTTGCTGGCGGTGCGTGGGGGGAGGGGGGTTCGAACCGGTAGTGACCCCCCTCGGTTTTCGAGGGGGGGGGGGGTTCGAACCGGTAGTGACCCCCCCCGGTTTTCCAGATCCAGAGGGGGGGGGGGGGGGGGGGTTCGAACCGGTAGTGACCCCCCCGGTTTTCGAGGAGGGGGGGGGGGGGGGAGGGGTAGGGAGGGGGGGGTTTGCCGGGGGAGGGGGGGGGGGAGGGGGAGGGGGGGGTTCCAGCAGGGGGGGAGGGGGATTTTCGGAGGGGGGGGGGGCGACCCCCGGGTTCCGGAGGAAAAGGCTGGCAATTTTCCACAGTAAAGCGGCGGTGGATCACGCTCTCTCTCTGATGATGACATGATGATGATAATGATGATGTTGATGATGTTGATGGTGATGGTGGTGATGATGATGATGATGATGATGTTGCTGCTGATGATGATGATGATGATGCTGATGATGATGATGATGATGGTGATGATGATGATGATGGTGATGATGATGCTGATCATGATGATGATGATGATGATGATGATGATGATGATGATGATGATGATGATGATGATGATGATGATGATGATGATGATGATGATGATGATGATGATGATGATGAGGTTGTTGTTGCTGCTGATGGTGATGGCGATGATGAGGTGTTTCTACCGTTTCCAGGACGTTCGGATTTCCAGAATTTATCATGTTCCGCACGGGCTCCAGAAGCGAGGGCCGCCAGCTGAGGAAGTCTCCGAGCCACTATCACCACGACACCATCCTCGTCCTGCTTTGGCCCTGCCCGAGCCCCAGCCCGAGGAC